GGAGTCGCCTGAGGGGGTGGGGGCAGGTGTCACCTCTCCCGAATCGCTGCCCTCCTTCCTTCTCTCCTCAAAGAAAATTATAAGTCAGTCGTGAGCGCTTTAATAGCCCTCGCGTTATCTAATTGTGAAATTAGTGGTTTTTCTCAATTACGCGATTATGGGCAAGATTTTCCGGCCTCTGGGGAGAGAGTTGAAAGAGCGGAGCTGCGGGACCCGGGAAGCAGGACTCTCGGTCTCAGCTTAGAAGTTGGCCGCTGATGGCAGTGAGCCACGGGGGGCTCCGCGGCCGTCTCTTCTCCCCCTCCTGCCTCTTTTTTACCACTTTTTTCGCGTGTGTGTTATAGTGAGGGATGTAGCCGGCGCCCCGAACCCCGCGGCATCGGGGTCTCCACACACCTCCCCAAGCAGCGCCTGGCTTCCTAACAAAAATAACCAAACCACCAAACCCTTAATGCTTCTGTGGCTACGGTAAATTATTTTTGTTAATGACTCGAGTACTTCCTTTCTGATGAAGGTTACAGAGCCAGCCAGAAATTTTGGATGAGGTCTCTGGGGTGTTTCCTCCATTTTGCTGGAGGAGGACTAACACTGACCCTCATGAATTAAAAAGAGGGGAGGGAGAAACGAATCCCTTGCACAAGGCAGAAACCTCGGCCTCTGAAGTTCAATTGCAGTGAATTAGTCGAAAGAAAGTAGACGTTTAAAAGGGAGGCAGGGATCTGGCACAACTGTTGCCTAAAACCTCTCAGCTGCTGCACAGGGCTGCTGTAACCCCAGCTTTGTGATTGTAATTACCTCTGTGAGCAGCACACTCAGCAGAAATTAGTTTGGGTTTCCTTTGTGGCTTCCCATAAACTTCAGAATGTGTTTTCAAGTCTTTACAGGAACATTTCCACAAAATGGTTATTGTGTCCTGGAAGGATGAGTCACTCAAACACCTGTGTGTCTCTGCTGTAGGTTACACTACTGGTAATGCCTGGAGCTGGAGCAGAGGACTGTGGGGAGAGAGAATATTTGCATGAGGGTCGCTGCTGCTTATCTTGTCCAGCAGGTAAGACGTTGGGCAGTTATAACTGATAAGGGCCATGTTTTTTTTCCTCATAGAAATGACTCTGTTGCTGTTGTTTTTACACTGCATCCGGTGGAAGTGTAAGCCCGGTTGGAGCTGTGGTGGTTTCTTGGTGCTGCGAAGGCTGGGTTCCATTTTGAAGTGAGAGCCCCTTGCACAACAGGAGATGACTGGGAGAGGTGCCTTGACAGCAACCCGGGAAACCTCTGCCCGCTGTTGGGGGTGAAGTGTTCAGAGTTGGGTGGTGTTGGTTTTGGGTGGTTTTGTGGTGTTTTGGTTTGGTTTTTTTAACTGTAGTTAGCATAAAGAACAGGCTTAGGGGAATTCTGATATTTTTGTATCTGTGGGTAAAACTTTGGTTTGCCTTTGCTCTCCCCTCCTTGCTCAGAGTTAAGTGTTGTGCCAAGAAGCACCCTACCCTTAGCATTGGTGGGCCATCAGGTGAATTGTCTTTAAATACAGATGAAGGAGAAGAGAGATCTCCCTGTGCCTGCCATGCTCCTTTGGAGGAGATGGCACTGGCCATGTGGGTGACCCCAAGCTGCACAGTGAGTCATTCTTGTGACAGGTGTGTCCTGGCGGAGGCCTGGCTGCCTGCCTCGCTTGCCATCCCTCCCAGTCTGAGCAGCAAGCTGTGAATGTGGCTCCTGACCCTGCTGTGCTGCTTGGTTCACATGGTGCACAATTCACTTGGCAGGTGGGGTTGAACATTCACCAAATGGTGTTGTGTTGTAACATCCTGTTGTAGTCCTCTGCCTGTGAAATAATCCCTTGAGGCTGCTGCTGCCAGTTCTCCTCTTCCACAGGTACTTATGTTGCTCAGCACTGCAGTGTTCCGCATTGGAGAGGAAGATGCGTCCCTTGCACCGAAGGAGAGGGCTATACCACTCATGAGAATGGCTTGGAAGAATGCTTGTCATGCAGACAGTGCAAAGAGGGTACCAAGCACCATTCTGATGAAACCTTAACCCTTTTCACCCCCTTTTTTTTTTTAATGTGGAAACCCTGGTCCTCTATTTTTTTGCCCTTCCAGTCAGTGAGTATATTGAACTTATCAATAAATTGCCTTATGGCCCAAGTACAATTTTTGCACAGTTGTGGAGTTGCAATGTTTATATTTACTTATTTTATTTTTAGATCAGATAACTTTGAGACCCTGTACTCTGACACATGATGCTGAATGCCAGTGCAAACAAGGGTATTTTTGCCCTGCCGAGGGCTGTGAAATATGTCAGAGATGCAGTACAATGTAAGTTTGACCATGAATACAAGCTACTGTTTTCCTTCTAGGGAATGTTAGAGCTGTGGCCCAATCTGGGCCAATACCTAACATGTTATTAAGCTTTAAATAACTGCCCTGAAACTAAATGGCATTATTCATGCATTTAAATTTTAGGTGCCAAAATGCATAAGGTTGAGAGTTAGGAAGACACGGATTTTGGTATTGTTGTGTCAGTTTACAGCCATGAGCAACAAGCACTTTTTGTGTCTTCAGATTAATACTTCCCCATCTACACACCTGAATGAGCTTTGTAGGAGCTAGTCCAAAATTATGGGAGGTAGAACCACCTGTTGAAGGAAACTAACTGCATGAATAATGCATCTGCTCTGTGGGTTTTTTCCTTGCTACTTAGAGGTTAATGTACACGAGCTTTATCTGCTTTGCTTCTATTTAATCTTGTAGTATTATCTTGGGTTGTTTAAAGGTGCACTTCTAACAAAGTTATCTGTTTATGCATGTTCTGTTCATGTCTCTAAGCTCTGCCTGAAAAAAATTCAGGCCTGGGCAGAGTTGCATATTGCTTTGGAAATGTCGATACAATCCTGTGTTGCCATCCACTTCAGGTGTCCAGAAGGGAAAGAAATTGTGCAGAACTGCAATGCTACTATGGACCTAGGATGTGGCTTGCCTGATCAAGGTCTGGTACACAAACACCAATTGGTGTGGGCTGTTGGGGCTGTGGCTTCAAGCTAATAACACCAGAGCAGTCTGTAAAAACAGTGGTTTGAATTACTGCGATGTGCTTAAGAGCTTTTGTGTTTTGGTTTGGGAATTTCTTCCTGAAGACAACTTCTCAAAGCGGGTGGAGTGACAAACCATCTTGAATTTCACTGAGTGGAAAGCTACTTGTATTGCTAGGGTTTTCAAAGTTGCAACAGTGACACTGTTGAAAGTTATGGATAGTGCAAAGATTTCTTTCATGGTTTCCATGTCTAAGAAGCTGCCTATGGAGTGGTTTTCTCTTCTGCTGGTAGATAGCCTCTGCCAAGCTAGAGAAAGAAGGAACTGACACTTCCTGAAGCTTGCTGTTGTCTTTTGCATACTTGTTTCTACCTTTTTCTTAAATGTCCCTTCAGAAAGTCTTGTAGAAGTTTGTATTGCAGCTGTTTACAGAATCCCCCACTGCCTTTGGGATAACGATGTGCAGGGTATAAGTACTCACATGTTCAGGCCAGCTGATAGTCCCAGCAGCTGTTCCAGGACAGGCTAGCTGGGTCATTGTACTAGTGCTGAGCTCAGGGTGTTCCTTAGGACAGCAGGGAAGGCTCGCACTTCAGAATATCTTGCTTGGGGACTGCTTCAGTACTAATTTTATTCCTTTTTCCTTTGCAGGAAGCACAGCTCTTGCTTGCACTATTGTGATTATTTTGGTGGTGGTTGGTGGTTTGCTGCTGTTCTTTGTAATTAGAAAGCCAAAGAGGGATAAAGGTAACTGCTTGATTACTACCAATAAACTTTCCAGAATTGAGTAAAGCATGCACAAAGGCCATCCCTGGTTTTTGTGTTACCTTGCAGGACACCTGTTTAAGCTTTAGCTCATTTAGGATGTGATTCAATTAAGTAACTCCTGTGTAATGGAGACTAGTTTTGTTCAGTAAATAAAATGCATAAACTTTAACTATGAGCTTGCTTTCTTTGCTGACAGTTGCCTTTGCTTCAACGCAGGATTAGTGTGAAACCTTTAAAAGGGCTCTTCCTGTCTACTTGCATGGTATTGGCAAAGAGTGAGAAAAATCGGTGTGTGAGCTCAGACATATGGGGCAAGAGGTAGCAACTAATTAGATCATTAACTACTTTCATTCACTGTTTGGCTGTGGAGATCTTTTTTCTACAAATTGAGGCCCTTTCATAATTTGAGCCTCTTATCAACATAACAGTCATGTTAAGTCCTGTGTGAGTTCATTTTAGTTTTTTAGTGAAAATGGAGATGTTTTCCTGAGAAACTCTTCTTTCCACTACTGCATATCAAAGTGGTTTAGCAACTAGTTTAGTCAGAATAATGTTGAAAATTATTCTGAATTTTGAATGTTAACTTTGTTCAAATCACGTCTTACTGATTGTATTGCAGTAAAAAGAACTTCTCCCTTCTCCTTTGCATTGCAATCACCCACAAAAATGCTAAGAAGTGTAAGCTGTGAGAAGGGGAGGTTGAAAGATTAGTTTAAAAGCCAGACCACATCTTGCAGTCTGTATTTTACTTAGTGGACTCTTCATCCCCTGTGCGAAGGTACAGTGTTTGTGCTGCTGGTGGAAGCTAAGGGTAGTACTCTCATGAAACATATGACCTGTCAAGGAAACCAAATGGCTTGTATTAGAGCTTTGGCTTGTGTTACAAATGTTTCTACTGCATTTACATCTTGTGTGAATTCAGCTATGTTTAAGCTGCTGCAATTCCTAAAAGTTTCTTAGACATTCATCTTGATTTCCAGCTGCTTCAACTGATAAAGATGCAGAGAAAGGTCTGGTAAGTATATGATGGACTGTTTCATCTGTTTTGTGCAGCTTAACTGTGCATGGCTTAATTGCATGTGATACACAGCTCTCAATTCTTGTCTCACTGTAGACCTCTGGTAGGATGTTAGCAAGGGCCTAATGCATTTGTTAGATGCATATGTCCACTGCAGTTGGTCTTTCCAGTGCTTCCCTTGGAAACATTCCAGACCCTGTGGCCAGGATGTTTTGAAAGGGGGGGGGGGGGGGGTTGGGCCGGGTTTTTTGAAAGGGGGGGGGGGGAATTAGGTGAAGTGCAAGCTTTCACTTCAAACTGTCTCCGAGCGATGCCTTGATCCAATTAGTTCTTTGCTGCTTTGTGTCTATTTCCCAGGCAATGTCAGCTATCGCTTCTCTGCATGGTGGTGTTATAGCTTTCCTTGCGTTTTGACTACACCATTATTTGTTCATAAGACTAACTTTTCTTGATCCAGCAAAGTGACTGAGTCTTGCTGCCTTTGGGGTCATGTCACAAGTTACAGACTTGTCAGTTTAACTTCTTGGTCCTACACAGTCCCATAAGACAAGGGGTTCAGGGCTCAGAGCATACCAGTTAAGAGTACACCTCTGAAAAGGGCTTACCAAGCTAAGGCTGGCTGCTGGCACACATTCCACTTTAAAGCTAGGTTCACCCTGGCCTCCTGTAGTCAAACACTATTTCAGAACCTTACTATTACAGTTCACTAGTGTAGTTAATGATGTGCAGCACCAAGTTCTAAAACAAATATTTGTCTTGATGAGGATCTAAGAAAAGCATCCAGATTCCTCTTGTAGCACATGTACCTACTCCCTGCTGCCTTTCTTGTTGCCCACTCAATGCATGCACTACTCAGTGTGAGCTCTTGTCTAATCTTATTAGTTAGATATTTTGAGTAATTAAATGCATCTGAATTATGTCACAAATACTTGAAGACTGAAGAAACTAATTTGAAAGATCTGCTAAAAACATTACCTTAAACTCTTCTCTTTTTAAGGTCCATAAATGGCTCAAATACGTGAATCACCCCTGGGTTCTTGTTGGGTTGAGTCTCCCTCCACAGCCTGGCCAGATTTGCAGTGCTTCAAATGTTCATAGAAGCTGATGAAGAAATGTGACAAAACCTCGTCAAAATGCTGTAGCATAGGAATAGGCAAATATTACATCTTTATTTTGAATAAAATGGTAGTAGAATAATGCAATCACAAATTGGTGCAGGGTGACACCTCTGACGTAAAAGTTGTCACAGACTTGAGTTGCCCTGTCTGCACATTTGGAGTGTTCATGCTACTGTAACAAAAAGCTTAATTGCTAAAGAGTTCTGTCCTTTGCAAAGTACCAGTGAATTTATACAGCTGTGGCAAAACCAAACAAACCCAAAAACCCTAAACAAACCATGAACCACCAAAAAAACAACTGCTGATACTTTATTTCATTCCAAAATAGAGCAGCAGCCATTAGTCAGCCATGCTGTGCACCTGTAGTTGCTTGGTTGCCTAGTTAGAAACTGTTCAGTATAAATAGGATCAACTTGTTTAACCTGTTTGCACCATTCAAAGGACAGTGGACTCAATGAGATGATGTACAACTACATGTGTGGGGTGGTCACATAGGGGTGTCACATGTGCAAACAGAAATCACACTGGCTTATGCTTGGGGGGGAACTGTACCTTCACAAACACAAGTCTTACTGGAAAACCGGTTATTCCTTGCCCCCATTTTCCACCTTAAAAAAATTCCTGAAGCTTTCCAGTTGTAGCACTAGCTAATATGCTAGATAAATGCTGGTCTCCTTTGTACTGTTCTTGATGAGTTGAAGCTACACTCCCTGGCATATCCTTGTTTAATGTACCAACAATGCTGAAAAACTCTGTAGCCCTCCTCACTTGCTTCCTTCTTTGTCCCCTCACAAAAGCTATGTAATCTGCACTGGTGCTCACTGGCTTCTTTCAACTGATTCTAGTTTGGGAATCTGCCAGAAAAACTAATCCAGCCAAAAGAAGCCTGATCTAGTGCACTTACATGGGGCTGATACGCTGTCATCAGCTTGGCAAAAGCTCTGAGAGCATCAGCCTTGATACAACAAGAGGCTTGAGGCCCCTGTTGCTGCTAAGTCAGCTCGGGTGCAGTGAGGCAGTTTTAATTTCCTCCTGCCTGAGGGGAGGTGTGTACCTTCTGTACCTAGAGAGGAGCAAGGAGCAATCCACACCAGTGAAAACATTAGGAAAAGTTTCCTGTGTTTGTTGTGGAGGTAGCCTGCAAGCCTTACCCCACAGTCCAGTGGGAGCACAACAGACAGCAAAGCAGAGAGTTTATGCTCTGAAACTATTTGAAGTCCAGGTCTATAAAGGCTGTAATTTTTGCATGTTTATAACTTTGCCAAATTAGCAGCCCTCCTATTATTTTTCTGACATCTGGTGACTTCAAGAACTGGTTTCTTCCTCCATACTATCCTTGTCCTCCTACCTGTGAAGCATCTCTTAAAATATGTTTGTATTTTTTACAGGAGTCTGAGCACAGTACTGAAAGCCTCATTTTACCAGAAGTGGAGACACCTGCAAATAACACAGACAACCCAGAGGGTGAGAACTCTGCTGAGAACCCAGAGGGCCAAGAAAAAGCCAACATTAACTTAGAAGTAAAAACCACATCGTCAGAGGAAAACAGGGCCATGCTTTACAAGTGGATCACCATCCTGCACAGGGGCTGGAGGCGGATCACCGAGTCTTCGCTACCAGCAAAAACTGTGCAGAATCCTGCTTTTCATCAGAATGCCCCACCTAAAGTACCAAGTGGTAGGATGACAGCAAATCATATGGTAAGTGTGTGTGAAATTATCATTGTGTTTTCTCTGCTACACAGGTAATTTCAGTTGAGTTCTTAATTATTCCTTGAGTGATAGATGCTGCTTTCAGGCAGAACAATAGAGAAGAGGAGGCTTTGCCTTAAAGATGTAATGGAAAGTATGGGAAGTGATACCTTGGGAAAGCAAACGTCAGCCCCTTGTTTAATCTGCTCTGCCTCTCTCATCTCCCTGTTCAGTATTTACACAGAAGCTATTATTTTGCAACAGCAACAAATGTGTTGCCTTGTTGCTTCACTTTGGAGCTAGTAGCATAGCTGTTTCAGTGTGCAATTTTCTTTACTGAAATACTTCCAGCTGTGCTGTGAAATCTGCCCCCTTCCCCTTGTTGGCGTGTGTGTGTGTCTGTGTGTGTGTATATACTGTGGAAGCAAGCTATCAAGTGGCTCAGGAATGATTGTGAGTGAAGCACTCTGATACGTTGGAGTAATGGATCAACTTTGTATTACAGGTACGAGAACCAAAGACTAGAATAATTGTTAAAGATCTTTCTCAAAAAGGTAAGCATTCCACGAATTGGCATTTGGAATTTGTTTTTTTCCTGTTGACTTTAGTCTACTTAAGGAATAGTGTAGGGAGGCTAATGAATATTGTGCAGAACTATAAGGCTTTCAGTTTATTGTAAAATATACTGAAGCTGGATAATTGAGAGATGTTGTAATCTCTGTGGAAAATTGTTCTACTTTAAAGCATGGCTTTTCTGCACAGGAGTGTAGTGCAGTCATGTTTTTAAGAATAAGAACCGTACAAAATTTTTTTGTATGTTTTAAACAAGTCTCCATTTGCAGCAGCATACTTGGCCATAATGTGTGAGGTGTAGGTCAGAGAAGATCTTTCTGTCAAAGGTCCGCTCACATGGAAGACCGCGTCAAATCCTATACATCTACCTGTACCCAGCAAGCTGATGTGCTGGATGTCTAAGTGACGGGTTTTGGTCATGCTGGTCTTTACTGAATCCTTACTTTACTTTACACCTTTACTAAATCATCTCTGGTTTAAAGAGACTGCTTTTGAAATATGTAGACTGATACCTTTAGCTTCTTTCAAGACCACTCAGTAGGAAACCCATTTGTCCTGCTGCTTCTGAGGTGCCAAACCTGGCCTTGTTGCTATTTCATCTGTGCGTGTATTTCCTGAAAATCAATGGGAAAGCATGTACGTTACCTATGTAAAAAAAAAAAAAAAAAAATCTGTATTTTAAAACCTAAGCTGATGTGTGTTGTGTGTGTTTTCTTTCAGAACCGAGAGCTACCTTTGGGGCCTTTATAAATGAAGTACCACGAAAAAATTGGAAGCGGTTTATGAGAACTCATCTGCAGGAGAATGATATTGTTAAAATTATTCATGAATTTCCTAATGATATAGAAGAGCAATCTTATCAGATGCTTCTCACCTGGAAAAACACACTGGGAGAGAAACAATCTATTATTAAATTACTGGAAGAGTTAAGGTATCTAGATACCAAGGCTTATGATAAGGTATTTAACACTTTAAAAAGTAATAATGTTATATGTAAATTAGAAGCTACAGATTAATGTTTACAATGAACTTCAAAAACGCTCCTGTGTACGTACGTATGTCTACAACCTTCCTGTAAATGAGGACATCAACAAGCCACTGGTAAAAGTGACGGCACGGACGTGATATCCTCCTCAGCTTCACGCAGTGTGCTCGAAGCGATTTAACGCCGTTGGTGTTAACGTGGACTTGGGTTGTGGTGTTCACTAAGGGCTTTTAAGTTGTGTGATATTAAACTCAGGTGCCAGGTGCCGGCTTGAGAGCAAGGAGCTCCTGTCCGTGCTTCCCTTCGTGTGAGGCAGGACAGTGCCCTTCAAGCCCGGGCTGTGGGGATGAAGAGGCTGCTGCTGTTTTGAAGAAAACGGCAATGCTTTGGTTTCTGAAGCCATTGTGTTTTGGTTTGTATCGGTATGCTCACACCTGTTACGTTTGAAGCACAGCAATAAAAGCCCACCTGAGCCAGAAGCTGGCCTTGACTCCCTGACCTTTTTCTCGGAGGGTGGGAGCTGTGCGGGGAGCCCGTTCCCGACCGCTTTCGGGGCCGCCCGCCTGTGGGAAA